GCGGGGGACGCCATGGGCAAGAAACACAAGAAGCACAAGGCCGAGTGGCGCTCGTCGTACGAAGGTGAGCGCGCGGCCGGCGCTTTGTGACGTGGGCGTTCGCGGCCGGGGCCCACGTCCCCCTACCTCCACCCCCTTCCTGGTGGTCGTCGCCCCCAGAGTCGCCCAGTCCTGGGGGTGCCCGAGAACCTCGTGACCCCCTTCCTGGTGGCGGCCACCGCTTGGTGTCGCGCCGAGGGCCTCCTCCCTGCTGGTGGCCGCCCCGAGGGCGGCAGCCCCCTGCCGACCCCAGCGGCCAGGGCCCCGCCCGCAGCCCGGCTGGCAGCCCCCCCACACCGGGTCCCCTCGCTCAGATTACGCCGACAAGCCCCTGGAGAAGCCCCTGAAGCTGGTCCTGAAGGTCGGTGGCAGCGAGGTGACCGAGCTCTCGGGGTCCGGCCACGACTCCAGTTACTACGACGACCGGTCGGACCACGAGCGGGAGAGGCACCGGGAGAAGAAGAAGAAGAAGAAGAAGAAGTCGGAGAAGGAGAAGCACCTGGACGATGCGCAGAGGAGGAAGCGCAAGGTGAGGGGGGCGGGGCTCTGCCTGGGGGTGGGGCTGGGGGCCGCAGGGGGGCCTGCACTGGGGGGGGTACTTCCGCAGCAGGGGGTGTGCCCTCCACGGGGCGGGTAGCAGGGAGTGCCTGCTGACCGGACTGTGGCACCTGTGTGGGCCCCGTGCCACCCCTCGCCTGGCCTGGCCCCGCAGGAGGAGAAGAAGCGGAAGCGCGAGAGGGAGCCCTGTGACACGGAAGGGGAGGCCGATGACTTCGACCCCAGGAAGAAGGTGGAGGTGGAGCCGCCCCCCGACAGGCCGGTCCGAGCCTGCCGCACGCAGCCTGGCAAGTGTCAACGGAGGTGCCCGCTGGGCAGGCGGGCTTGATGCCCGCGCCCAGCCAGCGAGCCCTGTGGGAGGGACCTCACTCAGCCCGGGGGACAATTTCCTCCCAGCCCAGAGCCACGTCTGAGTTGTCTTCCAGGAAGCCTGAGCGCAGTGTGAGTCCCGGCCCCTGGGCTCCTGCCTCGGCTCTACCCTGACCCAGCCCCACTCTGTCGGGGCAGGTGGTTCCCTCGGGGAGGCCAGGGTTCTCCGCTGGGCCTGGGACACCTCAGGGCCCAAGGGACTGGCTGTGGGCACTTGAAGTGGGCACCAGCCTGCAGTCCTGAAGGAGCTGCCCATTTTTCGGTCAGATCTCTCAGGACCCTAGAGGCAGCAGGCAGGTCAGGGTGCCCCTCACACTCAACTCCCAGCTCTGGCTGCCAGGGGGCTGCTTGTGTGACAGTGTCCTACACTTGGGGACATTTCCCAGTTATGGCCGCTGAGGCAGCAGGGTCGGGGCACTCAGCCCAGAAAAGTCATGCCAGGTTCACCAAGGGAGGCTCTGGGGCCTCCGTCCCTCTGGCTGGGGCTTGTCTTTCTCGGTCTGGACCTTAGGTGCCCTAGTCTCAAGCCTTTGGGTTCTGACTTTGGGTCAGTCACCGCTGACTTGCTGTGCTTGCTGCAGAGGGGAAGCATGTGCCACTCTGTTGGTAGCAGCCACCCCAGCCCCCAATCACCACCATCATTCATTCACCACCGTGTGCTCAGGTAGTGCTGGGGGTAGGGCAGGGCCCTCACAGGGACTGGTGGAGGTGGGGAGGCTGGGTCGTATGTAGCAGTGGGTGGATGAACACGTCTGCAGAGTTAGCACTGTCCTAGCTTAACCCACCTCACGTGTGGAGCCGCGTTCCTGCAGCCCCAGCCGGAAGTGCTCTGGGGCTCAGTGTCTCCATAGGAACAGCGCCCTCCCGCTCCCTGTCTTCTCTCTGTTGGACTCAGCTGAGCCTGGGGGCTTGATCCCTCCCCCGGAATTCCACACCAAGCTTTGTGTCCTGGGAGAACTGTCCTTTGAGAACTGGCTCTGGTCCCCAGATGGGAAGCCCTATGTCTTCACCCTGAGATGTGGTCACACCGTCCCCACAAACCAGGAGGGCAATGCTGTGCAGTGACACACTCTGTGGAGACCAGGAGCCAGGCCTTTGCCATCCCCCGAGCTTGGGCCGGGCAGAGGGTGACCCAGGCTGCACACCTCCAGCCATGGCCTCACTGGGGCCCCCATGCCTCTCCTCACTCCCCCCACTCCACCCCCCCCACAGCCGAGAACGAGAGCACGCCCATCCAGCAGCTGCTCCAGCACTTCCTCCGCCAGCTGCAGAGGTGAGCTTGCCTGGGGAGCCCCACGGGAGACTGAGGGACACAGTGACACACCCCGGCTGTGAGTGAGAGGCCCGTGTGTGGGGTGGGGCGGGCCTGTCAGCTCTGGAGTGTCACATGACCCTTCCTCCCCTCTGATGACCCATGAGCTTGTAGTGATTTATACCAGGGACTTCAAGAAGCCTGCAGAAAAATGGAGTTGAAAGAGAAGAATGAGGTACTTTCCCCAGCATAGGCAAGGCGCTTTTGTAAGCGACGGTTGTAGCTCTTTAGCCCATCCCTGATGTCACGGGGGCCCTAGGAATGTCACGCAGTGGGTTTGCATGGTTTCCCACAGAAAGACAGGGCCTCTGTGCGGAGCTAACTTTAGGAAAGAAAAAGAAATGAGGAAGACCCAGTCTTTGTGGACGTGTAGAAGTCCCCCAGGAAGCTGGCGCGGGGGTTGGCCTTGGGTGAAGATCAGGGCAGGCGTGCTGCGGGGAGAGAAGCCCTCGCAGGTGGAAGATACACGCTCCTAGAGCAAGCTCAGAAGTGGGAGGAAAGCGCTTTATTGAGCACGCTGTCCTGACTGGCAAGCTAGGATGGAGGACGGGCAGAGGCAGCGACCCCCTCTCCTCCCTGGCAGCTCTTGGTGGGTGTTCTGCCAGTGGGTCTGCTGGGTCCGTTGGGGTTGGCTTGCCCTCAGGAGGGGGCTTGGCATACCCAGAGCCCCGTTCACGGCAGCAGGGAGCCCAGGCCTTGGGTGCTGTCCAGTGACCGGCCCCGCCACTTGTGCTGCTCACAGCAGCGGTCTCCCACAGCTGTGCTTCCGAAATGAAGGCCTGCTGGGAAATGCAGGACCAGGGACTGATCAGAGGCAGCCACTCAGCTCTAGGACTCACCGTCGGCCTCTGCCAGGGGCACCACTGAAGGCCTAGGGAGATGCAGACCCAGGAGAACTGCATCCTCACGTGTTCCCGTGGGGCGGGGGTCCAGAGACCTGGCATGTCAGGGCCTCAGACGTTCCGGGCAGACCAGGGCCGGGCCGCGTGTTTGTGGACCTGTTGTGGTGAGGTGCTGGTTCTGACCATCACCACCCTGTGCACCACAAGACCACACGTCCGGTCCTGCGCCCTCCGCAGACTTCTTATGTTTGGGCCCAGGGTCGCAGCCAGGGTGCCAGTCCATCTTAGCAGTGCGCTTCCTCTTTTCTGCTGCCCCTCCGTGTTAGCAAGCATGAGGTCCTTCGCCAGGGACGGGCCTCTCCTGACAGCACGTCCAAAGTGTGTGAGACAAAGCCTCGCCATCCTTGCCTCTGGGGAGCACTCTGGCCGTACTTCTTCCCACACAGATGTTTGTCCTGCTGGCAGTCCCGGTACTTCCGACATTCTTCCTAGTTCAGTGTGTCAGTTCTTCCGCCTTCCCCATTCAGTGTTCAGTGTCTCCAAGGTGGGCGTCACAACCCCGATGGATGCGTCTTGTCGTTTTCTGCTTCTGTAAGGGGCACCCGTGCAGTGTCAGCCAGTGAGAGCCGGGGTTTGGCCCTGCCTCTTCTTGGCCCCTGGCGTGTTCCTGGCAGCAGCCCCATGTCTCTGTCTCTAGGAAAGACCCGCATGGGTTCTTTGCGTTCCCCGTCACAGACGCCATTGCCCCGGGGTACTCCATGATCATCAAGCACCCCATGGACTTCGGCACGATGAAGGACAAGATTGCCGCCCATGAGTACAAGTCTGTCACGGAGTTTAAGGTAAGTGTGTGCCAGGCCACCCACCTGTCCCGAGCCTCCCAGTGCCCCCTGTTCCTTGTCCCTGCCACGGCGGGAAGGGCTTGTGGCAGGGTCTCCCTGTGGCGGGCTGCAGTCAGGGCTGTTTGTTGCATGTCGGGAAGAGTGCTTGGTTCCTTTTCTTCTGCATGTTACTGTGCCGGCAGAGGATTAAGAGGCTGCTAGCCACAAGGTCAGCAGTTCAAAGCCACCAGCTGCTCCAAAGGAGAAAGATGAGGCTGTCTGCTCCCAGCAAGGCGGACGGTCTCGGAACCGTCAGGGGGGCGGGGGGCAGTGGGCTGTGTTTGCGTTGTTCTGTCAGCTCCTCCAGCCCATTGCCCCCTGCCTCGTCCTCCCTCACAAGAGCCTGACTGCTTCCCAAAGAGGGGAACGTGTACTTGCTTGTGGAAGAGCAGCTTCACAAGATAATGGCTCCTGAGACCCAGGGACCATTAGGACAGTGGTCCTGAAAAAGTTGGCTTTCCCAGTGCAGGCAGGCAGGCTGTCTGTCAGTCACCCTGCCGTGAGCCCTTTCCTGCGGGCCCAGCGCAGGCTGGTGCGGTGCTGCCTGCTGACCTGCTCTCTCTCCAGGCAGACTTCAAGCTCATGTGCGACAACGCCATGACCTACAACAGGCCCGACACCGTGTACTACAAGCTGGCCAAGAAGATCCTGCATGCCGGCTTCAAGATGATGAGCAAGGTAGGGCCCGGCGCTGTTCTCCTCCCACCCGCCGCCAGGCGCCCCCTGTGCCTGCTCACCGCCCAGCCCCGCCTGCCCTCCTCCAGGCGTCCCCTGTGCCTGCTCACCGCCCTTGGCTGCATGTCCCACCCGAGGCCCAGGGAGCCGGGGTGCATGAGAGGGACAGCCCCTCGGGGCTGACGAGCTGTCAGGTGAGGGGAGACAGCGAGGCCGCGCCATCCGTCCGAGCCCGTGCTTCCCTGAGGGAGAGTAAAGGCGGCCGCTCTGTGCTTTCTGATTCTAGGAGCGGCTGCTAGCGCTGAAGCGCAGCGTGTCCTTCATGCAGGACGTGGATTTCTCTCAGCAGGCCGCACTCCTGGGCAGCGAGGACACGGCCGTCGAGGAGCCGGTGCCCGAAGTCCTGCCTGTGCAAGTAGAGACGGCCAAGAGATCCAAAAAGCCCAGTAAAGAAGCCCTTAGGTAAAGGCCCACCCAGGGCCGCGGGGAACGGGCAGTTGCAAGGCCCAGGAGCCCCAGGCCAGTGCCCGTGGGCTGACCCCATCTGCCACGCCCTACCTCCTCACCTGTGTACCTTCCCCCCTCTGCCCTGCTAGCCCCGCCTGCCGCGTCCCCCTGCCCTGCTGGCCCCGTCTGCCATGCTGTGTCCGTCCCCCACCTCCTACAGTGGGCTAGCCTATCCACCATGCTCTCCCCCCAACACACACACCTCATGGACCCCATTTACCATCTTCCCGCCCCCAACCTTGTAGGTAGCCAGTGGGCATACCTGTCAGTTGACAGCAGACATAGTCTCGCAGAGCTGAGCCCCTCCTTGGGCCCGCACACTGCCTGCCCCGCATGGTGGCTGTCTGGGCTTGGGTTGGAAGGCCAGGGGCCACTTGTACGCCCACACGTGCTCGTCTCCCAGATGTTGGGATGTGGGTACAGTGCTGGTCACCGGCCCACGGGGCAGGGAGGATTGACAGTGCTTCTGGCCAGCCAGCAGTCCTAGAAGCCCCGGGGCAGCCTCTCCTGTCCCTACAGGGTTGCTGTGAGGCAGTGGGTTTTCACAGCACCACCTCCTGCGGGCCCAGTGAGCTCCCATGCCCATGTGGGCACCCATGTCCATGTGAGAGCAGGGTGGCCTCCACCCCTCACCAAGGGAATCCTGGGCAAAGGTGGCTCCACATAGATGACTGAGGGGCTTGGTCCTCCGACTGGGCGGCCACGATGTTGTCTGGTGATGTTGTGACAGCTCCTGAGACCAGCCCTTGGGGCCACTGGCAGTGTGGTCAGCCCAGCCTGTGGGAAGAGGTGCTGGGCCATCTTTGGGGCTGACGGTCCTCTTTGTTGAATGGTGCTGAGGCTGGCCTGGTGGTGGTCTCTGAGGCCAGCAGTGTCCCTTGGCATAAGTGCCGGTGTGCAGTGGAGCGGTGCAGGGCCTGGCTGGATGGTGGCAGACCCCTTGGCGCTCCTCTGGTTCTTGCGCCAGCTGAGCTGGCAGGGGCCTCGAGCTGAATGAGACCGGACGCGGCTATCCCCAGCAGGCCCAGGCCCTCTCCTCTGAGGGACCAGCCCCAGCTCAACCCTGTGAAGAAGGGCGGCTGCCTCCTCATGGCCACGTGCCCTCCCCTCAGGTCTCCCCCTCCGCAGCCCCTGCACCTAGTGGGGAGGCTGCCAACATCCGTTCCTTTTGTGGCTCCAGCTGACGGAGATGTGGCCACCCACCAGGACGTCTTCCTGCCTCCGTCTGCCCTAAGCTGCCACACATGACATGATGGAGCAGAGTGTGGGGAGCAGGGCGGTGGGACACGTGGGCATCTGGGGGCCGGGTGTGACCGTGCCCTCCCCCGCAGCTGCGTGTTTGAGCCCGAGGGGAACGCCTGCAGCCTGACGGACAGCACCGCTGAGGAGCACGTCCTGGCCCTGGTGGAGCACGCGGCTGACGAGGCCCGGGACAGGATTACGCGCTTCCTGCCCGGCGGCAAGGTAGGGCCTCTTCCTGGGCAAGGGTCCTTCCACGGCCTCAGGTGTTGGGAGAATCGGGATTCAGAGCTGAAGGCCTGCTTTCCAGAACCCTTTCTGGGTAAGTTGGGGGCCTGGTGGCTGGTAGCCTCACCGCCCCTGCACTCCCCACCGAGTCCTGCCCGCCCCGAAGGACACTCTGGTTTACAGCCACCCCTCACCCCGGCTCCGTTATGCCTGCACTGTAAGGGGTAAAGGCAATGTGGTTCCAGGCCTGTTCTAGAATGTTCCAGGCTTCCACTTGGCTCTGGAGGCTGCAGACCATGGTCTTGAGGCCTGTTCTAGAATGTTCCCTGCTCGCACTTGACTATGGAGCAGCTGCAGGCC